AGGGAGGGGAGGGGAGGGAAAAGAAGAAGCCATCATAAGAGAACTGAAAACATGACCCTAAGTGTGATAAAGGGCCAACATTCACTAAGTGAGATGGATAAATGGTGGCCTGGTCACCCTGTGACAATCAAGCAGAGGTTTAAGGGCAAAGAACCATCTGCAGGGTGGACAGATCCCTCCTCTTGACAGTGCCCTTGGCTCAAGGGTGAGGTGGGGAGACGCCCAGGCCCCTCACTGCAGCTGAGCTCTCAGGGCAGGCGCGATGCTGGGGTGACGCATATGGCGATGCCTCCCCCAGGACTGGAGCAGCTGGGGGAGGGGAGGAGGGTGCTGCTGTCCTGTAGCTAAGACACTCCGTGCCAAGATCACGGCCACACTGCCCTTTGGGGATGTAGAGACTGGAGCCAGCAGTGGAAATCGCTCCTTCGATCTGGCTTCCAATGTGCCAACAGCAGTTCTACAATAAGGTCACCCAGGTGGAAGGAGCCTGGGAGGGAAGGTCTTTAAGATAAACACGAGCATGGAAAAAATTCCCTTCCTGGGCTAGAGACAGACAAGGTCGCTGCCTGGGGGCAGGAGTAATATATCCACCAATTACTCAGGCGACCTTGGACCAGTAAATTTTATTTAAAATCTGAGCATCACCTACTGATAATTTGGCAAAATAATACAAAACAACAATTATAATAAAAATACCACTATAAGCCACCATTCTTTTATTATAAAAAAAAAAAATTAACAGCAAAAGGACATCTTCCCAGGATAGTGAACATTTTTCTTAATTGAGTAAATTAAGCTCCAAGAAAAACTCACTCTGTTGTCCTAATTCTTAGATGTTTCCCTGGACTGCTGAGAACTTTACAGACCAATGGGAAGCGACGTGATAACATTGGGGGGGGGGCCTTTCCTCCCCTCCACGGCTGGAAAGAGGGGCACGTGCTTTCTCCCTGGCCCCTGCTCTCCGTGCCCGGACCGACTTCCTGCCTGGGCTTCTTGGAAGGGCTGGCCCGGCCGCTGTGAGCAGCGGCGAGCGAGCAGGCGTGGGCCCGAGTCTGCCTCTCCCGACCCTGAAAGTGACGCTGGCATCGGGGCGTCGCGTCCTGACCCAGCACGGGGAGCGAGTGCCCTTGTTATTGCGCCCTCTTCATAAATAAGCAGCGCAGAGACCGGACACCCTCATTCTGCTCTGTCTGCGACGCCTTCCCTGTTGGCTAAACGAGCCAGTAAAAGACTCCAGTAATGCCCGGCCAGCGTGGCTCAGCGGTTGAGCGTCGACCTAGGATCCAGGCGATCGGGGTTCGATTCCCGGTCAGGGCACATGCCCGGGTTTGCGGGCTCCATCCCCAGTCGGGGGCGTGCAGGAGGCAGCCGATCAATGACTCTCTCATCATGGATGTTTCGATCTCTCTCTGTCCCTCTCCCTTCCTCTCTCTGAAATCAATAGATATGTTAAAAGAAAAAGAAAAAAAGACTGCAGTATTAAATTTGGAGAGGGGAAAAACGCCAATTTCAAATATTTATGAATAAACTAAGTGAAGTAAATTCACAGCCTTCAAGCAGCCTTAAAATACAAGCACAGAGGGCCCCGTGAGGCCGAATAGAAACGGGCAAAGCAGGGCAGAGTCGGGAGGCCACGCCTGGCAACTCCGAGGCCCTGGGGGCTCTTTCCTTACCTCCTATGAAAACCAGTGCTTCAGGGATGTTGACAGCTCTCAGCTAATGAAATGAAAGTTTGAAAAGCTTATGCAGTCAGGAGGGAAAACAGCTGGCATCACAGGGCCCCTTCCCAGCCATTCCCAGCAAGATGAGAGGAAACGACCCCGAGGCACTTACCGGGTCCCCCCCGGAGGCGAAGGAGATGGACTGCATGTGGTGATTCGCTATGATCTGCCGGGCCCAAGACAAGAAAGGAGATGCGCCGTTAGTACCCTCCCCGGGTCTTGGAAAACCAACTGTTGACAGGCAATACGAATCAACAAGCTTTCCCTAAAATTGGTAGAATTGGTACCCAATGAAAATAACAACTATAAAAGTAATAACAATAGGTAACCCTTCTCGAATTTCATAGCATGTAGCTGCTCGTCTAGCAGCTTTGCCAGAATGAGCTCATTTAAGCTCCACGGTAGCCCCATGACGTAGGAGCTGCTGAGATCCCATTCCACAGATGGGGAGCCTGAGGCCCAGTAGGAACAAGAGGTTGCTCCAAGTACTTCAGCTAGTAATGGGCAGGGCTGTGACCGAACACGGGGTCTTGATGACAACGCCTCTGAGGAGGAAAATGTCTCACCCACTCACCAAGACATTTCAACCATGTAGTGTCTGTTTCCAGAGACATATGGGGTCTTCGACACGGACCCCATAGCTTAGTGGAGGGAGTGGCTGTCCCCACTTCAACCCACTTACGTTATGTGCACATAAATTGGAAAACCTGCATCGAAGATCAAAATCGGTGCCATCTCAGGCACTCTTGTAATTTATCAATTTAAAAACAAGTGAGGACACTCCAAGTTCATTTCTAAATGGGAAATTTCCATTAGCATTATAAACTTCAGGGTACCGTGGAATTTAGCAGATGCTGAGTAAATTAGAAGTTGCACTAAATTTAAAAAGCTATATAAATTTTCCACGCTACTTTTATCTTTTTAAAGGCAATGTAATGACATTGAAGTAAATTTCTGGGGGTGAGAACAGTACTCCTGTCTCCCTCCCAACATCATCAGGTTTATTTTTGCTCAGCCCCCTCAGGCCCTGGCTGGTGGGCAGTCAGAATGTACAGAATCCTACCATCCGGGGGATTTTTCCAACCATGCTCCTGTAAAACCTGAAGGAAAACTATAAATGAATTGTAAAATAAAATAAGATGTTTTTAAATGCCTGCTTCAGTTTTGGAGACATGCAAAACTACTCAGGATCTAAAAAAACCCTGAGCATATAGTAGTTAAGTCTGAGGGGGAGTCCAAAGTTATCCACGGATTTTGGAGCACGCAGGGGTCAGCACCCCTAACCCTGGCACTGCTCAAAGGTAAACGGTAAGTGAGTAAAGGCGAGCCCAGCTCTGTAGCCTGTGCCCAAACCCAGGTGGATCAAACCAATAGTTGCCTTTTGCAGCTCTCCAAAGTCCTGCCTCTTGTTTGAGGACACAGCAGTCCCCAAATGATGATAAACTATGACTTCTAAAATTAAGTTTTGCTTATTTAATTTTTGTTTACAAAGCAGTGCTAAAACTGGGGTTTGGAAATCGAAGTGGACACCAAGATTTCGGGGGAAAAGGAAATCATATTTGGTGTACACAAGGCATCACCGTCACTGGGTGAGCGTATGGCACCCCTTTGGCTGAGAGAACTGAAAGGGAGAGCTGACTAACGGCAAGCCCGCGTCTTCGCTCTGAGGCTGTTTCATCTTTTTCTTCTCCCTGAGAGCCCTGCAGAGGGGAGCGGGCCCTGCCTTTCTGCTGCCCGTCGGCAGTGGGGGGAGTGTCCTCTCGGCTGGCCCTCAGCTTGCTGCAGCCGGGCCCTGAGCTCAGCCAGGCCAGGCGGGAGAGCCAGAGGATGCGAACCTCGGCTCCCATCAAACCCGCCTGAGGCCGTGCTCATGATGTCCGAGCCGGCATCCCCTGGGACTCGCTCCCACCCGCCTAAACCAAGGGCAGGAAATGAGAACCGGCGCACCCACCCAGCCCCCAGCCCCGACGGGGAGGGCCACCTGTGGCTGCCCCATCCTGGCTGCTCTTTCTGAGTTTGCTTCTCTTTGAGGTGGGGAATTAGGTAAAAGGGAAATTAGGAGATAAGATCTCGCAGAATTGAGGACCAGGGTTTGATGATTCCAGAAACAAATGGTCCAACAGACGCATAGAATAAGAGTGGATGTGCCCATATGAGTGCAGAGCTGAGGGGACCAACCTCTGTCAGCAACCACGGGTCTCAGCCTTGAGGCAGCTCCAGAGAGAGTCTGAGCCTGTTGAAGTTACTTAATCCACCACTTAAATGACAGGTCAACCATCCCTTAGAAGTACCATTGAGAAAAGATAAGGGATCATCCATCCTTGGAGTAAGGACAAAGGAATAGGGCTAGAAGTGGCATCCAGTACGTCAAACCAAAGCCCAGACATGGCCTCTTGCTTCTATTCTGAATCTAGAATTTATTTCAACATCTCGGGTGGGGTAGGTGGGGTGGAGAACTAAATGGAGCTGGAAATGCTGCTTGCTTGTCTGGGGAATTTGGAAATTCATAAATAAGAATATGTTAGCAACATAAAAGTACCCTGGGCATTCCTGGTGCCACACTGCCAGAGTCGGGGAGTGTGTCGCCCATAGGGCCGTGGCCTGACCGTCCTGCGCAGTGTGGATGCGTCTGATTTCAGCTCACGCCGCCAGCAGCGCAGGCCCAGGCTGAGCACAGCGGCCAAGGCCTTCCGGTTACAGCATGTTCACCCGCTGGTATCCAGGGCAGCTGCTCACATGCACATTTGAGCCATGATGTTAAACAAGTGCCTCTAATTTATTTACTCATTTTTAAATTTATCTTTATTGTTCAGAGTATTACATATGTCCCCTTTCTTCCCCCTTTGACCCCTTCCACCTGTACCTGCCCCCTGCCCCGAGCCTACTGTGCTATTGTCTGTGTCCATGGGTTATGCATTTATGCACAGAAGTCCTTTGACTGATCTCTCCC